GATGACTCGGTCTTTTTCCCAAACAAAATAGACTCTACAACAAGAATTTCCTTAAGCTTCACAACATCATCATCGCTCTCACATACGTATATGTGATTCACAACATTCTTTGAAATTTCATTCCGAGTCATAAAATCTCGAATATCCTTCAAAGTCACACCCTTAGACTTACCAAAATAGTGCTTCAGAATATTGCTCTCTCGATTAATTGGTTTTTCAACATTATGTAATATGATCTGCAAACCACACATAATGTGAAAGTCTTCAAAGGTGATGGAAATATCATGGCCAAAAATCTTGAAACTAATCGAGTCTCGATCATTCGTGAATATTCGAGAAAGACACAGACAATGAACCAACTTCATGCTGCATTTGAAATTCTCCATAGCCATAATGTATCGAAATGTACCATTATGAAGCTTATCTCGTTGTGTAGGAGTCAAGAAAGTTGCAATTAATTTCTTCAAATCGTGGTTCCCCTTCCAGTAACCCCTAGAGTTAAACCAATCTCGAAACTCAAAATATTTTTGACCTGGTCTTGTAGGTGGAGGAGCAGGGACATAAGGACCTGGGGGTATTACAGGTAGTCTAGGTGCTTTAGGTGCATTAGCTGCTTTGTGTACTTTAGCTGCATTAGGATCTTTAGGTGCCATCTGTTCAAAAAAAAGTAAAACATACAAAAAATATCATCAAGACATTATCAAAAAGATTAGTTAAAACTTCAATCTCTAAGAAAGCTAAAGTTCGACAGTTACAAAATAAAACTTCAGCTTTAGAGCTGAAGTTCGCCAGTTACAAAAACAAAAACTTCAGCTCTAGAGCTGAAGTTCGACAGTTACAATAACAAAACCTTCAGCTCTAGAGCTGAAGTTCACCAGTAATGAAACACAAAAACTTCAGCTCACCAGTTACAAAACACAAAATATTCAGCCCCATGCTGTAGTTTTTATAAAAAATAAAACACAAATTCAAATCCAAAAATAATGCCAAAACATGAAAAAAAACTTCAGCTCCTATCTAAGGTATCATCTATTTAACTCTCAAAATTTTTAAAAATTTGGACGTCTAATCACTTAAGAATTTATAGAATTTTCATCAACAACATAAAAACTCATTCAAAAAACCTAAAAACACAATCGTAAAAGTAAAACTAATGCACTTATCAAACTAAATACTAAGAAACTATTTAATCATAAATACATGACTATCAAAACCAAAACCAGAAAAAAAACCCAGAAAATCGTAAAATAAAACCCAAAAAGTTAATGCAATGTACTTGTGATTAAATCGTAATGTGGGAACAACGACGAATAGCAGTTGAAAAATCAAAACAACGATGAAAACCCTTTGATTTCAGAAAAGATTAAATCAAAAAATGCGAATAACGGGAGAGAGATAGAGACAGTAATGGACTAGCGTATACTTGGAGAGAAAGTAGTCTTTTAATGAAGAAGGGCAAAATAATCTTTTTAAAAGGCTTTTAACAAAAAAATAGGTATGGTGCAAACAGAAAGATAAAGCGGCTACAGGTTAAAAAGGGGCGCCCAAATAGGGCGCCTTGTGCAATTTTTACCTGATTGTGTATCCCCTCTGCAAAAAAGTAACAAATCGTCAGCAAAACATAAGTGCACTAAATTGACTTTAGCACAGTTAGGGTGGTATTTGAATTCCTTGTTCAACTTTAAATATTTCAGGAGCCTGCTCAAGTACTCCATTGCCATTACAAACAGTACATGTGACAATGGATCATTCTGTCTAAGTCCCTTCCTTAACTCAAAAGGCTTTGCTGGTTGTCCATTTATTATTACAGTATAGGCCATAGTACTTATACACTTCATGATCCACCTTACAAACTTCTCAGGGAAACCTAGCAGCTTCATAATTTGCTCAATATATATCCATTCCACAAAGTCATATGCTTTTTGTATGTCAATCTTAAGCATACACCTTGGTGATATGTTCTTCCTTCCATACCCTTTAACCAGCTCATGGCTCATGATGATGTAGTCACTAATCATTCTTCCTGGTACAAAGGCTATTTGGTATTTGTCTATGAGCTCTGGTATAACTTCATGTAGTTTTGCAGTTAAGATCTTAGAAATTATCTTATATAATACTGTGCAGCAAGAAATAGGCCTAAACTCCTTGATGTTAGTAGGATTCTTCACTTTAGGTATCAAGGTAATAGTAGTACAATTTATGGATTTGCACAGTTCAGTAGTTTCAAAGAACACTAGTGTTGTTGCTGATATAACTTCCTTACCAATTATATTCCATGCCTTTTTGAAAAAGTAAGAATTTTATCCATCACATCCTGGTGCCTTACCACCATCAATGCCCTTTAAGGCTATTTGCACTTCCTCCTTAGTGACTGGCTTTATTAACTGCAGTTGTTGGTGTCTGCTCAGAACATTACCTTTTTGCATAACATCTGGATCAATTACTAGTAAAGTTGAGGCTGCTGTACCAAGTAATATTTTGTAGAACCTTAAGATCTCCTCTTCTACATCCTCAGTATTTTGAATAATTTGCCTTGCACTATTTATTAAGCTGCCTATATGGTTCTTTGTCTGCTTATTTCTTACACAAACATGAAAGTAAGCTGTGTTAGAGTCCCCTATCTTTAGCCATTTAATTCTTTCATTCTGCTTCATAACACTTTCCTCTACTTCCAACCACTTGGCCAGTTTAATTTTTGTCTCATCTTCTTGAGTTGTTACTGTATTGTCACATTATGGGGATTTCATCCCCTTTTGGTTGTTCATCAGTTTGTCTCTTGCTTCTTTGATCCTGGTCCCCACACTACTGTACTCCTGATTATTTAATTGCTTCAGCTCTCCTTTCAGTTTTTAGAGCTTATACCACACATTCTGCATTGTATTTCTCCTATGCCTACTTCTCCAGCATTGACTGACTATTTCTTCAAACTTATGATGAGTTGCTAAGTAGTTAAAGAACTTGAAAGGTTTCTTACCCTTTACCATAGGCTCGTCAACAGTTATTTTTAAAGGGCAATGGTCTGAAAAGCCTGGCTGCATAATGATCCCCTCCATGTTAGGTTATTTTTATATCCACTCAGCATTGACCAGAATTCTGTCAATTCTACTATGCACATGGTTGTTAGTCCATGTATAGTTTCTCCCTATCGTTCTGAGTTAAGCTAGTCCCACATTAATTACAAAGTTTTTGAAATCTTTCACTTCCACTTATTGCACTGGGTTCCCTTGCACTCTATCATCTATGGACATTATGCTGTTAAAGTATCCCATTATTACACTTGGACCATTTACTCCATTCATGATTCCTCTTAGATCAGCCCACATACTCTTTCTGTCTTGAATATTATGTTTCCCATAAACTGCAACAAAGGTGAACAAAATTCTCTTGTGCTGCTTATTCTCATGATATACCAATTAAAGGTTGGGATTGAATTCCTTGATTTCTGGAAGGAATAAAAGGTGATATATATATTTATGGGCTCAGTCACCTGCCATGTGGACCGTTTACTATTATATGATTTTAATAGACGTATCTATTTTATGGTCACATATGCATTTGTTATCAACTTGCAGTTTGGTTTTTGCAAGATTGCTTGCTCAAATTATTAGAGCACAATTCCAGAACATAAATTATGATGATTTATCTTGATAATACTGGTTTAAATCCAAGTTAGTTTAGCGGAAATTGTTTGCCTCTAATTATAGCTAAATCATTGGTTATGAGAACAAAACTCCCAAAAATAAAATTTGGTATGAGATGTATTATTTAATATACACCAGCACTTGTACGCATCTAGCCAAGTTATGAAAATTTCTCCCTATCACAATCGGTTCAGGGTCAGGAACCAAATAATTTCTATATAGAAATATGAATGTGTTATATGATTTAATTATGCCACTACAATGCACAAAGATGGGTTACCAAAGAAGGTTGGGAAATGTGTTGGTGATCCCAACATTAGGGGGAGAAAATGGATAGATGAGAAAGTGATACGTGAAATGAATTATTATGAATACATATAGATCCTTGTACAAGAAAATATGAACTTGAAGTTCAAGTTATTACTAATTTATAAATTATTGCCAGACGCATTTGCTGACCCAACTAAATGTCATATTTCAGCTGTTAATGCTCCAAATACAATAAAGTTCATGAGGGACAGAGTCTATGGCACGCATGAAGCGTAACAGACCAATCAGTTCCAAAGATAAAACTCCTTGAAGAAGGAGAGGGGCAAAATGGTCATAATGAGGAGGCAAGTGCTCTAGAAGAGCACCACGACATAACACTTCATAAGACCTCATGTGAGAGGC